CCCACCCACCCACTTCTTGCAGGGCTCCCTGCTGCAACTCACACACCCGTCCATCAGCTGAGGGCAAGGAGCCTGTGATTAACACCTCCTGTACCAGCTCTGCTTGGGTGTCCTCACATCATCTTGCTGACGCTGGGTTCAAACCAGGATTTCTCTTTGTATTTTCCTTTCCCCAGAAGCATTCCTAGCCCCTCCCCTGAGTGTCCAGTGATTCAATTACCAAGGTTTTGTCCATCTGATTGGTTCAAAGTTGGCCTGACTGCTCTTTAACTTATTAGGAGTATGAATCTGCAGAGAAAGTTCTATGACTTTATCAGCTCACAGCACTGCCCTAGCCAATGGGGAATTTACCATCCTCAAAGCCATTCTATGTGTGTATTTACTTTTTTGCCTCCAGATCCACCTTTCCTTTAGAGGCTGACCACATCGGGTTGTATTTATTAGCTCATTTCTTCTGTACCTCCTGTGTGAATTTGTCTATGGCAGGAAGATAGAAGGAGGTAGGGCAAACAACTCTCCTGGTTTGCAATGTCTGTTCCTTGGCTCCCTTCTTGCTGGAATGCATTTCAAAGTGGCTACTTTGCTCTACAAAAGGCCACAGCACCTCACAGGCAGCTTTCTCTCAAGGCCACATTGCCCCAATGCACAAGGACTCAAATACCCTGCTTCATATTTCAGGCCTGTGTGAATAAGAGCCACCCATTTGTGCTAGTGCCAGGATGCCTCTTCTTCCCTGACAGAGTTCCCTTAACCTTGTGAAACCTTTGTAAATAGTTCCTTCATTCTCCCTCCTCAATCCTGCCAGGACCCTGACCAATGCACCTAACAAGGGGAAAATGAGCTTCAAGAGTATATTTTGCCTTAAAAAAGAAACCAAAAACAAACAAATAAAGAAGACAAAACAACAACAACAACAAAAAGCAATAACAAAGTTTCCAACATTCTGCGACTAGAGGTAAAAAATTTCCAACATTCTCCAATTAGCAACAACAACAATTCTAACATCATGCAATTAGCACCACTAACAGAGTCACCAGAAGCACTGAGATATATGCAATATAAAAATACACAGTGTGACTTGAACAGAGAATCCAATGAGGATCCAGTGAAGAATCCCTGTGCATCCTTACCTACTCCTGCCTAAGGAAGTCTGCACTGGGATATATTTGCTTCATGAACATAGTGGACACCATGGTGCTTCATTCAGATCTCCTCTTCAGGACATGCCATCCCATCCACCAATGGTTGTGCCACAACCAGTGGTTGTGCCCCTCACTGGGTCCTTAGGAAGGAATAGGAAGAAAGAATAGTTACCAATGGATAGGAGATCCCAATAAATCAAAGAATGGGTTTAGTAGGATAAGAAGCTGTGGGCAGATAGTGAGATGTTTAATTTGTGGCTTTGGAGGTGGAGCATTTTCAGATGATGACAAAGAACAAGTTCTGGGGCTACTTAAGTGGAGCACTAGAGCAAGTAATAGAAAAGAATGATTCACAGCTTTGGGGGAGGCAGAAATGTCTCAGGATGCAGAGGACACTAACCATAAATGAAAAAAAATATGTATAAATTAGGCTTCAGGAAAATTTAAACCTTCAGTTCACAAAAGACACCTTTAAGAACATGGAAAAGGAAGCCACTCTGTGAGAAGACAGACTCGGTACTTTTAATGGTAAAAGGACTGTTATGTAAAATATAAATAAATCTCCTACAAACCAATAGCAAAATAACAAACAGCCCAATTTTTTTAAAGTGGGCAAATTTAAAAGTAGACACTTTACAAAAGGAGATAAGAAGATAGGATTGACCAGGAAACATACAAAAAGAGTAAATATCATTTGTTCATCAGGGAAATATGAAGGAGATACTACTACAGACCCAATAGAATAGCTAACAATAAAAAGACTGAGAACACCAAGTGGCGAGTCTGGAGAAACAGGAGAACTCCCATCCCTGGGCACTGTAAATCGGTACTGTCACTTTGGAACCCTGTTAAGCTGTTTGTAATAAAGCTAAATATGACCTACTCTATGAATCAGTAATTCAATCCTTAGGTCAGTACCTAAGGGAAATGTGTGCATTAATACACACAAAGAATTGTACAAGAATGCTCTGAGCAGCTTTATTCATGATAGTTGAAGACTGGAGTAACGCAAATATTTCTCCACAGGAGAATACATAAGGAAATTATGGTATATTTATACAATGGAATATTACTCATCAATAAGAACAATTAAAATACTGATGCGCACAACATGAATGCATTTCAAAATATTAATTATTGAAAAATATGTCAATAAAATACAGTAGTATGTGACTTCATTTATATGAAGCTCAAGAATAGACAAAATTAATCAATTGTGATAAATATCAGAAACGTGGTTTCCTCTTTGAGAGAAATGGACTGGAAAGAAGCATAAAGGAATTTTCTTGGGTGATGGAAATGTTGAGATTTCAGTTTTGATTGCACTGTGAATGCATCTGTCAAAATTTACCTAGCTGTCCATGTATGAGCATTTTACTCTCTCTCTCTACCTTAATAAAGTATTACTAAAAAGTAAATAAATAAATTGCATAGAAGATGGAAGTCATATACAAATTTATGCTTGTATTCTACAGTTCAATTCAGAAATTTATCACACAAAAATAAGCAAAGGCATGAACACTAATTTTATATCTATATAAAATATTGAAAATGTGAGAGGTCCTTAGTGACTGAAAAACACAACATCCAAATGTGGCATCAAAAAAAAATAAGGTGGACTGACAAGTCTGCTGAGAAACAGCTGGGGATCCATTGCTGAACAAAAGCTGTAGACAAACAAAAGCTTTGAAAAAATCTTCAAAGGCTGTGGAAATCATTCCATGAATCATGAACTGCTATAAATGTCATAATTTGGGAAATTACTAATTCATCAGTCTTATAGTTTAAACTTCCATTTTTGTTCTGAGCAGATAGGGCAAACGGTGAATTGATTTTTTGCCATTCAAGCGAGCAGGCTCCCCGCTCTTTGCGAGTGTGTTTCTGGGTCAGCTGGCCTTCCCTTTTGGCCTCCTCACAGATGTGACCTTGGGCACAGCATAGACACAAAGCTTCTACCTTTACGTGCTAAGAAGAGATACAGACTGGAGGAAAATAAAATGCCCCAAATTATTCTGTAATATTTCACAAGTGTAGTGAGTTAGAAATCTTGATTCTGGGCCAGCCCGGTGGCGCACTGCTACAGTGCGCTGCTTGGGAGCGTGGCGGCGCTCCTGCCGAGGGTTCGCATCCCACGTACAGACCGGCCACTCACTGGCTGAGCGAGGTGCAAGCGCAACACCGAGGGTTGCGATCCCGTTGCCGGTCCCGGTCCGGTACGGGCGCGACACTGAGGGTTGCGATCCGTTGCCGTTCACGAAAAAAGACAAAAAGGAAAAAAAAAAAAAAGAAATATTGATTCTACTTTGATCTTTTAGCTAATGTATGAATGAGACAAAAGGCTGTTGAGTAAGGGGACAAGAGTCCACAGATAAGTTTGACAAAAGCCACCTAATCAATTCTAATCACTGTTTAGGGATGGGATTGCATACTTTGACTGTTTTTTAGGTTGCTGGTTTGATTCCAGCTTGAATGACTATTGACTATTTAACCTGCTGATGGTTCTTAAGATATGTTAAGGAAACTGCTTGAATGCTGTTTAAATATGCTAAGGAAATCGCCCCTGTAGGAAGTATGTGGAAAAGAAAATGTTTACCAAGGACAAGCTGTTTGTTGGTGAATTAACCTAGCATTTTACAAATTACATTCTGGAATGTCACATTGTTAATTTACTGCTGTTACAAGTTTTACACTGCCTGCTTTTATGTCCTTCTTTGATGATTAATTCGACTGATTTTTCTTGTGGAACTTCCTTGTGTTGTCAATAAAAAGAAAGGCTGATTTTGAATCTGGGCTGCTCCCCTGAAGGGCGGCAGTCCCTCCGGGCCTCCTTGATGGTACTTCCAGTGAATTTTTTCTTTCTCTTTTTTCTGTCTCGGTTACACAGAGGAAAGTGCAACACACAAGAAAAAAAATGAGGAGCTCAAGAAATTTAATCCAATCCAAAGTAATAGTAACAATTAGATTCTTTCCTTCATCTACCTTCAGAAAACTCAGAACACTGCCCTTTGCCCACAGATACTTGGCAGAGACTTCATATATGGTCTCTTTTTGATAATTCTACTAGTTGATTATCTCCAGGCCTAATGCAACTCTTTGGTCCACCTATGAACATTTCCCCTAAGTAGTACATTTATTTGTGTGTCTTAAAACATGTTGTCAAGATTTATTTTTTCCTCCAGAGAATTATTGCTTGGTTTCCAATGGAATTAAAGCCAAGGAGACTTTATGTAACAGTGTTAGACTCATGGAATCCCAGATTACTCAGGGAGTTTAAAGTTGCTCAGTTGTTTTCTGCTTTGTTCTTCCCCCTTGAAAAGAAAATGAAATACAAATTTCATGTTGGAAGCCACTGTTTCTCTGATTTACTCAATTACCAGAAAAGTCCCAAATGTGCAAAATACCATTAAGTGTTACTTGTAATCACACACGCTCACCACGATGCTGGACCTCGGCTCACACTAGGGTTCACGGTGCACAAGGTAACATTTGTGTGAAAGAGATTGGGTTTCTGAGATTCCTCCCAAATAGGAACACAGGTTTGATGCTCTGTTGTGGAAAACTTCCCATGTGCCAGGGATAGAAGAGGCTTCAGAATAGAGAAGGATGTAACCTCAGACCTACCGGAGGCCGTCAACACATGCAGAGCAAGAGGCGAGTTCACCGCATGTGACCACAGCTTGTGAACGTGGGCAGCAGCCACCACGTCCCGTGGAAGCCTGCCTGACGGCACCATGTCCTTGCCTTGGAGCCTTACAGCCAGTGCTTCAGGAGTTAATCTGTGGTCTCCTTCTACCCAAAGAACAGCTGATGTCCACATCTACCTCTTTCCCTTGCAGAGTGAAGGAGAAAGAAAGGCCTCTAGAGAGAAGGAAGAGGTTTGTGGGCAGGGAGCAGGGGACTGTGCCACACTATGGCTGAGCTGCTGGCACAGAGATACACAGCCGAGTCCCCCTGCTCTGCGGGCTGGATCCTCAGAGTGGAGAACGAGCCCTTGGGCCTCTCAGCAGAGAAGCGGTCACTAAGTGCCCCTGATTTGTCTGTTTCTTTCTCACGTAGGAAGTAAATCAAAAACTCTGGGCCTTGTGTCGGGTTCTGTCGGTACCAATAAAGGGCGGTGTGACCAGAAATTGGATCACACCTGAGAGCCACATTCTGTCCCCTCTCTGTGACCCTGTGCCTGGGGGACTGGAGGACTCCAGCACCTGTGAGATCTGTGGAGACAGAAGGTGGGAACAGAATGAGGAACACAATTGTGGTCATCACACACACACACGTGCACACACACACTGACACACACATGCACACTCACCTGGCCCCCAGCAGACAGACGGCCACACAGCAGAGGAGCCTGGGGCCCATGGCAGGGTCAGGACAGAATGGGAGGTTCACCAGTTAGGTCCTTGAGAGCAGGAACAGAGGAGGAGGGATGTCACTTGTCCCCACATGGCAGTTCCCACAGTGACATCACTTCCTCTAGCAATCCCTACCACTTCAGGAACACAGGATTTATTTAACAACATGCTTGGATGACGGATTTAAATATCTATAAGCATCTATTTAACAAAATCATCTCCTGGGCCACTGCTTTCGACTCCAGAGTTGTCGGGACACAGAGGTCTCACGGTGCGCCTCTGAGGTCATCTTCTCACCCAGCACCCACTCCTCCATCTGCAGGGCATGTGCACGGAGCTGTGTCAACAGCACCTCCAATACAGGACACCAGAGGGTGAACCTGGTGTCTTAGCAACAGGCCAGGATGTCCCGTGAACGTCCCTGTTTCTGTCACAGTCTCCTCCTTTCTCCCACTCACACGTCTTCATTTCATTTGGTTCCCTCGTGTGCTGCATCTCACACTTTTCTTCTGGGATCATTTTCCATCCTTCATAAACATAATTTTGAAAAGATATCTTGGTGGCAGAAAAACAGAGTTTTTTTTCTTTTGTCCTCCTGAAAATAAGTTTTCATCAACCTCATCATTCCGTGAACGAGGACTGCCATTCTGCGCTGATGGTTATTTTTAATTCCCTTTCTTGACTTTCACTGTTGCCCTCAGTCTATTCTTTCGGGAGATATTTATCTTTCTTTTTTGACTGCCTGTAAAATATTCTCTTTGTCATTTATGCTTTACAATTTCACTGTGATGTCACTACCCTATTGATCTTACTTGGGATTCATTTGAATTCTTGAAACTGAGAATTTGGGTCTTTTATCACCTCTGAAAACTTCTCAGCTACCATCACCTGCAACATCACCTCAGACTGTTTCCCGATTCTTTCTCTCCGAAACTTTAATTATATGTTGAAAAAAAAGGAAAATTCAAATAAAATAGCATGTATATTCTACTCTACTAGAAATCTCCGTTTTTTTCCTGTTTTTAACTTTTCTTTTCCATTTCACCTATATTTTCCTCTGCTGCATTATAGGTCATTTCTTCAGATCTGCCTTTGACATAACTAAAAACTCTGCAGGTCCATATAATCTGCTGTTTAGCTTATCCATTTTGTTTTCAGTGAAATATGAATCATTTCTAGATAACCTATATACTGTTGTTTAAGTCACCTGATGGTTTTGACAGTCTCTTTTTCCTTGTTCGATTTTTGACTCTCCACGCCCAGTGCCCGGGAGAGACCTTGACGCCTCTGCAGTGGGTGGAACGAGGCGCAGCTGATGGGCTGGCAGCGTGGCTGGAGTAGAGAAAGCAGGGAGGTGGGGATGGGAAACTGGCGGGCGTTATAGGGTGACTGTCCATAAGGGAAAAGTGGCAGGAGTAGGGATCCAGTGGAGGTGGGGCTGGGCGAGAACCCTAAAGAGAGAAAGCCACGTGGTCCCCAGGAAGAGACCGAGTCTAGATGTATCCGAGTTACATATCACTTTCCAACCAGGGGGCTTCAGTCCCAGGCTTATTTCTAGAAGTCAAATGTGGGTAAGCACCTTGCCCACCCAAGAGAGAGCTACAGGGGAAAGACCAGAGAGCAAGAAGGAACACATCTGTGCCTGAGGTTGCCTGGAGAAGGCCCTGGGCACAGATGGGGCTCACACTGCCCAGGGCCCTCAGGGCTCCCAGGTTCCTGGTACTGAGACCTCTGCCAAGGGGGTCACTGAAGTCAGGGTGCAGAGCCTCCCCCGCCTTTATGTGCAGAGAGGAGGAGGCCGTGCAGCACTGTGGAGTAGCTGCTGGCACAGAAGTACACAGATGTCTGCGAGGGGGTGGCAGACGCCAGAGTGAGGGGGAAGTTCTCTGTACTTGATCTGGAAACACTGTAGCCATCGGGGACATCTCCTTTGTCAGTGCTGTCAACACCATATGAGTAATAGATCAGCCTCAGCCCCAGCCCAGGATCCTGTCGATACCAGTACATGTTGTCATGGTTCATATCCTGGGTACAACTCAGTGTCACACTCTGTCCTGTCTCCAGGACCTGGAATCTTGGGTTCTGAGTGATGTCAGCATTCACTCGACCTGCAGAGAAGGAGGAAAAAGCTGATGCCACATCCCCAGTGGAAAGACTGGCTGCAGGAGCCTGGAAATCCCATGGGTGGCCCACCCAGGCCTCACCTGTCTGCAGGAGACAAAAGGCCACACAGCACAGAAGGCCGACGCTCATGGCAGTGCCAGGCAGAACAGAAGGACCTTCTGGGTCTGGGCATTGATGAAAAGGGAAGGGGCTCTGGAAGGCGTCATTCTGATACCTCCCTTTCCCTGCCTGAGCCCCAGAGCCTTCCTGTCACCAGGGGCCACACCCCTTTCCCCAGATGGTCACATCTGAAGTAAATGTGCAAGTGAACAGCTTAGAATGGGAAGAATGCACTTGTCTGAATTGACACGAGCCTTCCAGGTTTTTCTTGACTTTTTGTAAAACAGTTTGTAACACTCCATGTATATTTTATTCCTGTGATGATATAATTCCTCATTAATATACTGGTTTGAGCTGTCTAATAAGTACTTCTGTAGTCTAGAATCTTAGGGAAAATGCTTATGGCTTCCTGGTGCCTTTTATGACTCCTGTGCCCCAAATACTCCTTCAAGTATCCTTTTCTAATTTGCTTAATTGACCACAGCCCTGTTAACATCTTCTGCCTGCGATGATTCTCTCTGGTTTCTGGTTTCCAAATCCCAGGGGCAGGCTCGTCAACCTTTGAAGAATTGTCTTGCTCTGTTTCTTGTCATCTCACTGACAGATAGGACTCCTGCCTAATGTGGCTCGAGCACCTTCACGTCCACCACAGCCCTTGCTTCCTGAGCTTGGAGTGAGACCGCAGCTGCCAGACACCCTCCTGTTGGTGAGTGACCTTGCTTTTTGGAGGATGGTGGCTTCTCCATATCTGCCTTTGCAAATAGTAAATGAGGGAAGAGATTTCCAAGATTAACAAAGGAAATCAAGGTGTCCAGATTCCTATTATATGCTAGCTACTTTATGGTTATTAAATTTTGCATAGAACCCCATGAGATGGAGAGTATCAGTCTCATTGTATAGATAAAAAAATTTAAAAAGTAAACCTAACATGTCAAGAACTTCCCTCAGATCTAGACTGGCTGATGTTGGAATCAGATCAGGACCAGGTGTCACGGCTCATGGTCACATCTTTTTCCTGCACCAATGACTCCAGGGTAAACTGATCTCTATCCATGATTTTATTAAAGCCAGCAGTTCTGAAAGGGAGATAGGAAACAGCATTCTTATTTTTGAAGATACATATCACTCTTTATGAAAATGCATTATAGTATAGTTTTAAACATGGGTTTTAGAGACAAATTAGGATTTGAGTCCCAGAACTATGTCCTAATAGTTTTTCGATTTGGTCAAATTATTTAACTTATGGGTCAATTTCCTTATCTGTAAAATGAGAATAGCATGTTCCCCTTAGGATTTTTTTCTGATACATACATTTCTAATTAATGGAAATTTTGTAAGTGAAGGACTTTCATATGGTATATAGTAAATTGTCAACTAATGGTGGCATTATTATTATTATTATTATTATTTTGAGTCTTCTTGGTGGGGCAGAGCTGAACTGTCAATGTGCATAATGTACTCATTGCTTGCAGTTCTACAAATGACCCTGCCACTCACGTGACAGATGATTTCCATAAAATCAGCCAGATATACATTAATACTGTAGATTTTAAATGTAGTATGTGCACACAGTGGAATATTGGTCAGCCTTAAAAAGAACGAAATCCTGCCATAGGTGACAACATGGATGAAATTGGGGGACATTATGCTAAGTGCAATAAGTCAGCCACAAAAGAACAAATACTGCCTGATCATGTGAGGTATTTAAAATAGTCAAACTCATGGAAGTAAAGACTAGAATAGTGGTTACCCTTCCCTGGACAGTGAAGAGCCTGTTTAACTTCACATTCCCCAGGACGCACTGGGTAAACTCCACCCGCCTCCCTAGTAGTCTCATTACAAAACCCAGAGAACAACTGAAACTAATTTTTAATAATATTTTATTTAACCATATATCTGCAAAATATGATCTCTTCAGTCTGTGGCACCGGTCACATTTCAAGTGCTCAGTAGCTACATGTGGCTAAGGGATATGCCAGCATGCCACCAAGCACTGCCAGCAGCCTCCCAAGCCCTCCCCAGGGGTCCCTGCAGCACTGTGGATCCACAGCGCCTCCAACTGGCCAAAGTCCACAGTCTCCTGGACTCACCTGACCTGACGTGCTCAAAATTGTCTAAATCAGGAACAGCGATTTCCCCAACCCCCACCCCGGCAACCCCCCTCCCCACCCTCTCACACACACCCGCCCTGTGCTTCCCCAGACCTGCTGATTTAGGTCTGATCTTCAAATCCACCCTTAGCCAGTGGAGGCGAGAGGATGTATGAACCAATATTTTCACTAAAAAATAAATAATTGTACAGCATTGCAATTAGTATGCTGACATGGAAGAGACAAAACAGAATGACAGGGGCCACAAAATTGAGCAGTGTGAGGATATCAAGCAGATCCAGCCTGGAAACACTGTATTCCACAGCTGCTCCTGACTAACCAGACCCATAGCTTTTCATATTTTTATTTAAATTAACGATTACCAGGAGCACTTCTCTGACTCCATTGGATGGTGTTTCCTCAAACTTTTCTCCCAATAAATTTTACAGAATTTTAAAAATAAATTAATTAATTAATAAAATAAAATAAAATAATCATTGCCAAATTTTAGATACTGTGCTTCCTAAAATGGATTTATAGATTTTACAAATTTATTTCTAAATTTATAAAATCTTGATATAAACAGTCCTTCCAGTTATAATGAAGGCTGTTTAGCTGGGTGCGACATTTGCTATAAACATGCAGAAGTGCCATGAACTCTAACCAGTAAGTAGTTTGTGATGAATAATATTAACAATAATAATATATTCATATAATTATTAATATTAACAATCTATAAATATTTTAATATAATACTATTGATCACTAACTACTGACCACATTAATAGAATATGAATAGAATATTCCAGGGCTCTATGTAAGTGGGCATTGTCTTATTTCACAAACATCAAAGACTATCTACTATATACTTGGCTTTTCCTATGAAGATGGGGGAAGAGAGTGACATAGTACTGAAAAGGGGACAGTCAGGGTAAGTAGCAAAGAGCAAGGCAGGAGTGAGCCAGTCCTTGACAGACGTGTCTTGGGAGAGGAAGGGGCTTCCAGGTCATGGGAACAGTGTGAGCCAACACAGACGGTGCAAAAGGCTGCTGAGTTTCAGGAAATGTTTGAAGAGCTGGTTGGTCTCAGAAGGTAACTGGATCTGGGCGGTGAGTGTCAGAAACTGTCCCAGGAAAGCAGAATTTGTCTTGGGGGGAACTCGAAAGCAGTTGCCCATTTATGTCCAGGGGTGACAAGACCTCCTCTGCATTTTGGGAAATACCTACCTGTGTACCTCAGGAGGCAGGTTGGAGCCAGAGGTCAAGAAATACGATGTCAGCACCAATTCTGGGTTCTCACATCAGGCGACTGGTTACGTGGTGATGTCCCCAGCTGGGGCCAGCCGCCAGGCAATGCCAGTTGTTATAAGGCCTTGCTTTGCATTTTCTGGTACTAAAGCCTTTGAGAGATCATGGAGCACAGCATTTTTTATCACCTAGTCACTCCACCGCTGTTTTCAACAATCTTTAATCATGTTCTCTCTCCTTGAATTTTCCCAAATCTTCATTTCTTCTCCCTCAACTGTATAAAGCAAACCCCTGTGACTTTTCCTTCTACACTACACAGTTATTAAATAATCTTGACCCTAAAATGGGCCTCCTTCCATAAAGAGGAAGGTACCACCTATTATACTGAAAACGCTTCCTCTCCCTCTGGAGGATACAGTGCCAGGCAAAGAAGGTGATTTTAGAATGAACCTACTGAAGTAGCACCACCCTCTGAGCGGATCCTTGTGGCCTTGTTGGTCCCACCCTGAACGGCGGAAAAGCCCCAGGCTGCACTTTCCAGGGCCCTGAAACCATTTCTCTTTCCCCCTACTGTCCCTAGGTTCTCACACACATGTCAGGTCTGAGGTTGTTCCACATTGGGGCGGGAAGTTTGTGCACAGGACATTGGTGACTCTGCAGGGCTGTGCCAAGCTGCTGGCACAGAGATACAGAGCCGAGTCCCCCAGCTCCAGGGAGCTCACGTTCAGCTCAGAGCGATAGTCAGGGAACTGGTGAGCTGAGAATCTGTCAGGGAAGTTTCCTTTTGCTCTCTGTTCCTCGCTGTAATGTTGGAAGAGGAACTGGGGACCCTGACCCGGGGCCTGTTGGTACCAGAACACACTGAGGTGCCCAGAGACAGGAGAACATCGCAGTGTCACTCCCTGTCCTCTTGTTTTGATCAGGTGTCTTGGCGTTTGGGTGACTCCAGCCTCTACTGGGCCTGTGGGAAAAGCACATGGAGAGTGACCACAGGGGAGAGGCTGGTGTTGCTTCCACAGGGGAAAGCGGAGGCTGCAGGGGTCGGCAGCTCAGCACGGAGATGTGCTCCTTGTCCACAGGACTCACCTGCTCCCAGGACACAAAGCACCACCCAGCAGAGGAGTCTGGAGTCCATGGCACAGCCAGGGCAGGCAGCACGGGGCCTCTATGCTCAGGGTGAAGCTGAGTTTCTCGATCATGCCTTTCCTGATTGGAGGAGTATCCTGTGATGTCACTGTCCTGGTGTCATCCCTCTGAAAGCTTCCCGAGGTTTAGTTCTTTCTGGTTCTGCAGGGTAGAAGCTACTGGGCATGTGAGGGAAGTAGACAGAGGACGGGGAAAGGACCCAGGAGGGAGCCCAATGGTGCCTTGGATCAGGCATGTCCCAGCAATGCTCCACCTGTACCAAGAGCTCCTCTGCTGCCAGCAGGCAAAGGGCCACACAGCAGATGAGCGAAGCCCATGGCAGAATGGGGCAGAGCAGGTCAAGTGTCACCCTACTCAGGGTTCTGACCCTCTGAGGGCTGGATTCTGGGCATCCCTTCTCTGACAGGATGATAGGCTGTGATGTCACTGCTCTGATGTCATGGTCTCAGCAGGTTCTCATGCACCTGGCCTCACTTGACAGGTCCTCACTTGTCCTGCAAAGCCTCTCACACAGCACACAGGGCTGGGCTGGGCTGGGCTGGGGTTAGGCCACTCGTCCATCCCCATAGCTTCTTTGGGGCAGTTGTTCCTCTGCTTGTTTCTGCCCCAGGCATGCAGGCTGCCCCAGCCCAGCACCGGCTCTCCATTCCCTCTTGCAAGCTCAGAAGGACTCCGACTCCCTCTCCACTGCATAGGTAAAGTTCATGGCTCCCTGCTTGGTCAGCACACCTGCAGATTTGTGTTTATGTCATCGAACTTTCCAGTGGAAACACTCTGTCCTGGGCAGCTAGTTCTGTGGACTCCTCCCTGGAAACATTTGGAGCTCGGTGGTGCCACAGCGCCCCCATGTGGCCCATTTTGCAGTAACCAAAATTTTGCTTCTGTTATGTATGTTTATGTTCCCCCCGAAGTCGTTTGTTGAAGTCTAGTGCCCAATGTGACTGTATTTGGAGAAAAGGCCTTTATGGAAGTAATTAAGATTAAATGAGGTCATAAGGGTGGAGTCCAGGTTCAATACAATTAGTATCCTTATAAGAGGAAACAGGAGAGCCCTTGCTCTCTCTTCCATGTGAAGACACAGAAGGAAGGTGGCCGTCTGCAAGCCAGAAGGAAGGTGGCCATCTGCAAGCCAGAAGGACAGTCCTCGTCAGAACCCAACCATGCTGGCACCTTAATCTTGGACTTCCAAACTGTGACAAAATAAGTTTGTTGTTTAAGCCACCCAGTCTATGGTATTTAGTTGCATCAGTCCAAGCTGACTAATATAGCCTTCCTGACATGGTTCCAAGGGACTTAGGATGGGTTTAAATTAGGAATTATTTTTAACGTCTTGCCTATTACACTGTTTCTTTCTATGGGAATAAAAAATGCAAACATCCCTAACGAATTAGGATTTGTCTTTCTTGAGGTCCCTTTTTACACTGTAAGAGAAAAACAGGTCATGATGAAAGTTTTGTTCTGTTTTGTTTTGTTTGCCTTGAGAAAATTCTGATGGAGGAGACGGTGCACACATGGCTGAGCTTAGGTGGCAGTGATAAAGCAAGAGCTGTGGCGGAAACTACACAAAGACAGCCTGCCTCCCTCACTGCAGATGGACTCTCAATGAATTTGTGAATGATTTATCATTAAAGCTCTTTTTATAGTCAGCTTGCCCAAGGCAGACCACTCAGACCACTGTTTGATAGGTGCCTGCTAATCACTTACTCCAAACTAAAGAAATTAATACTCACTGTTCCCATACTTCTGGAGAATTTGTTTCTCTTCCTTCTATCTTCTCTCTTTTACAAATCTTCTTTTTGCCTCTGTTAATTGGCAGTAATCTAATTCCCATGTCCCCACTCATGGGAAAACGTGCACAGGTAAATGATTAAATTCCTCTAAGTTTTTCTTGGATACCCACACAAGAAAAAAAAAATTCTAACCCTGTACACTTAGTATGGTAGGAAGGAGGAGCCAGCCTGCATTTATGTTGGATTAAAAAAAAATAAACAAGGAGACTTGGTTAAACAGAATATGAGAGGATTCAATTCCTGGATCCTTACTTTTTGCTCACTACTTCTGACTTGGTTTACTTCCAATCAGAAGTATTTACTTCTTTAAATATTCACATTTGATTTAACTATTACTAAATTTTAAACGATGCATTAGATAGAATGAATATAGCTTTTCTAATATAGTCTATTTCTTGACTTTTTAAGTCTAAAAGCAAACGACTCCATGAGATATCACTGAGATGATATGTTGAATAAAAGTGGCAGATTGGACATCTTGTCTTCCTCCCGATCTTAGAGGAAAGGCATTCAGCTTTTCACTATTGAGAACAGTGTTAGCTATGGGTTTGTCGTATGGTCATTATGTTGAGACACATTCCTTATATACCTAAGGAACAAATATATTTGTTTAGTTATCCCTGATCCAGCTGCATCAGACCTTGGCGGGCACTAATCAATTTGCCAATGAGCTATGATTGGTGCCCAGTACCTCTTGCGAGATGCCACCCAGAGAAGTAATATTCCACTTTGATTGAGTCTCCATAGATACAAAGCAGATAAAATTATCTTAAGCCCAAATGGCAATATTCTATAACTAAATACTTGTTATGAATTTTGTGTATACATGACTCATCAAAACCTTCCACAATAGGGCCGGCCCGGTGGCGCACTGGATAGTGCGCCGCTTGGGAAGCGCGGCGGCGCTCCCGCCCGAGGGTTCGGATCCCACATACAGACCGGTACCTGCTCACTGGCTGAGCGAGGCACGGGAGCAACACCGAGGGTTGCAATCCCATTGCCGGTCCC